ACTTGTATATTTAAAGAGTATATAAAGAAAATCATTAAAATCAAATAGAAAACACTTCCATTTATAATAATTACTTTTAATGAAGTGTACAATAATCACCCACGTCAATAGGCTTTTTGAAATCTATCGTGCGCTAATGATACCTAAAATATAATATCCCTTTGTGAATATTTTGAACCTTTAGAAATTTGGCTTTCTGTATTTTTTATTCGGAAACTGAAATGTGATACAAAGCTTAACAGACAATACTACTGTCATTACTGTAATTGCATGAAATGTATATGTCGTCTAAATAGAGCAATTACATTTATATATCTGTGTTTCTAGTCCCATTGTTATAAAGATTATTAAGGCTACTAGTTTTGTACTGTCGTTAAGTATATGTAGACATTTTTGATAAAAATTTAACAATTACATTTGTAAAGTAGATTTTGCTGTCATATACTAAAATATCATAATTTAAAACAGTTTTGAAAAAAGCTTCTACTAAAACATTTGTTTCAAAATTAATAAAGTCATCAGTTGTTCAATCTAGCATATTAAACAAATAAAATCGAGAAAAACTAAAACTAATATAGTGATTTAATATGCAGACGATATTATATATGGTGGCCTGATAAATAACTTCCTTCGCCGTTTATGGCGCTACGATCTGAAAAAAACATTAGTTCTAGAAAGTCTAATCTCTTTTAGGCATATATGTCAAAGTTTAGGACGATGAGCTAGGTTTATAGACTACGTGACCTTCTCATTGGTCATTTAGGTTACGTTTGTTGATAAACCTAGCAAATTAGAAAGAGATGCAGGGACTGCTTTCAGTCAGTCTTCTCTTTCGCACTGGGGGAACGGGCTAGTATTGCAACGATCAGTCTATCTTGTATTATATGTCTATGGATGCAGTCATTAGTATATATTTGACAGCTGAATAAATTTGACGTGTTTGAAAAAATTACGCATACGGAAAAAAGTAATTTTCGATGCGATTATATAAAAATGTGAAAAAAGTCTATGAAATGGTTTTAGCTGATCGCAAAGTGAAGTTGCGTACATTTTCAGAGGCTACAAGAATTAGTAAAGAGCGCAATAGTCATATGTTAAAGAAAGTTTTGAATATATAAAAAGTTATTCCCTTCAATGGGTGCCGCGTTCGCTTACCATTGACCAAAAACATGATCATGTGCCCACTTCTCAGCAGTATTTGGATCTGATGAAACGCAATTAGTCGGAATTTTGACATCGATTGGTAACCATGGATGAAACATGGATTCACCGCTATACACCAAAGAACAGAATGAACCCATGGCAGTGAACTTAAGCCATCAAAATTGCTTTGAACCAGCCAAAAGTGGTTCAATGAGTCGGAAAGTTATGACCACTTTATTTTGGAATTGCGTAGCGGCCCTAGCGCAACGGCGAATATACTGACTTTCTAAGTCAGAGAAAGTTTGATTCTCGGCAGCAACAACGGAATTTTCATTTCTAAAAATAATAACGAGCGGCCATCGTGCTTCTTAGTGCACCTAAAGCTTACGGTTGCCGTGGGCTAGTGTGCATCAACACTAATTACCTGAAACAGAATTAAAAATGCAATTGGCGCCAGCACAATCCAAAAGAACCTTCCTGCAAAGATGTTATCTTATTTTAAATGTGCCTGTCTTCTAGTGATGTTGGCAGCCATTTTGATTCATTTTATTCTATTCACAGCAGCTTTAAATAGATCAGTTAACGTTAGGCTAGTCTATTTCGTAAGATTGGCCAGCCAGGACATACCTCTGCATCCAGGACCTCTCTTGCCCTCAAGCTTGCCTTGTAGAATCAACTGTAGAAATCGGTATTTATTATTTCGCAGAATGTGATCTCAAAGCATGTTCGCATGTGATAGACAAGAAATCTGAAACGAATATACAGATGATACAGGGCCTGATATAATCAGAGAAGAAATAGAATATGCAATCCAACAAGCAAAAAGTGGTAAGGCCCCCGGTCCTGATGAAATTCCCGTAGAACTGCTCAAACTTATGGACGATGAATCTATTAAAATACTCCTAGATCTATTTAACACAATATATAGAACTGGAATAATACCTAGAGAATGGCTCCGTTCGACCTTTATACTACTGCCAAAAAAGGCAAATACAAAGGATTGCAACGAATATCGTACGATAGCTTTGATGAGTCATGCTCTAAAACTGTTCTTAAAAATAATCCATAATAGGATCTATAGGAAATTAGACGTAGACATCAGTAACACTCAAATGGGATTCAGAAAAGGGCTGGGTACAAGGGAGGCTCTGTTTGCAATGAACGTTCTCTCACAGAGATGCTTAGACATGAACCAATAAATTTACGCCTGCTTTATTGATTTCGAAAAGGCCTTTGACAAAGTACAACATGAACCACTAAGACAAGTTCTAATAAAGAAAAATATAGACAGCCGAGATATTCGAATTATATGCAATCTATATTGGAATCAAACAGCAAATATCAAGGTTGAGGGCAGACTAACAGAAGAAATTCAAATCCGTCGAGGAGTCCGGCAGGGATGTATCTTATCGCCACTTTTATTTAATCTGTATAGTGAAGCTATCTGTGAACAAGCACTCGAGGAAGAAGATCTTGGTCTGATAATAAATGGTGAGACGATCAACAATATAAGGTATGCTGACGATACAGTTCTCCTAACGGGAACGCTAGCAGAACTACAACATCTCGTTCAAAGTCTCAATATATACTGTAACAGTTACGGCTTGAAAATTAATTTGAAAAAAACTAAATTTATGGTAATCACGAAATCAAAGAACATCAGAGCTAATCTTGTAATAGACAATACAACGATTGAGCGTGTGCCCTGTTATAAATATCTAGGTGCTTGGATCACAGACGATACTGATCAAACAAAAGAGATTAGATGTAGAATAGAAATCGCTAGATCAGTCTTTAATAGAATGCGCAAACTCTTTTGCAATCGTGATATCAATATAAAGTTACGAATACGAATGCTGCGGTGCTATGTCTTTTCTACCCTGTTATATGGAGTTGAGGCTTGGACACTAAAACAGTTGACAATAAAAAACATCGAAGCTTTCGAGATGTGGTGCTATAGGCGCATTCTCAGAATATCATGGATGGACCGCGTCACTAATACGCAAGTGCTCCAGACTTTGAACAAAAGATGCGAAATTCTAAATGAGATTAAAACTAGAAAGATGGAATACTTGGGGCACATTGTGAGAGGTGAAAAGTACGAACTTTTAAGAAACATCATGCAGGGCAAAATTAAGGGCCAAAGAAGTGTGGGAAGAAGAAAAATATCGTGGCTCCGTAATCTACGTGAATGGTTCGGATGTAGTTCGATTGAACTTTTCAGGCGCGCTGCTAACAAAGTCGCAGTGGCCATGATGATTTCCAATCTCCGCTAGGAGTGGCACGAGAAGAAGAAGAATGTGATCGAAGTAAGACATTTTTTGTTCATTAAGGTGTAAGTAATAACAGTTAATAATAAAGACGAAATACGATATCCTCCAGATCTAGCCATATGGCTTACCCTTCCCTTAGTGGGAGTGTAAGCCATATGGCTAGATCAGATAGCTACGGTATCAAAAGGATTGACCTCTGGTGTACCTCTTTCCGTATTATCGAGCCCTAAGCGACGTCATATATAGCACTAAACACAACTTTCTGCATAAACCTATACAGGTATTTACTTAGACTCAGCTATTTTATGTTTCCTAGGGGATTTTTCATATTATAACACCACCAGTAGTAAATAAAACACCAGTAGTAGCAGTGCAATTCGTATTAATATGGCACTCTAGAATTACTTTTTCTAGTGCAATCCATCTCCCTGTCTCAGTCCATTTTTACAATGGAAGGGTCTTAAAAAGTCGTTTTGGATTCTGACTACAGTCTCTACGCTTGTGAGTGTAAATTCCGCTAGTCGAACAAGATAAAGCGGCATTTGAAATTCCACCATAGCCTTTAGAAGTTTTTGTCTGTTGACTGAGTCGTATGCGGCTTTGAAATCCACGAATATGCGGTTGGTGTCGACTCCGAACTCAAGCGTTTTCTCAAGAATCTGCCTGACTGTGAAGATTTTTAAGGTAATGCCTTAAAATAAGTGTGCATATTATTAAACGCTAAATGTGTACAAATAAAAATAAAAGTGTTTTTGTTGTTTAATAACAGTAAAAAGTAGTAATATTTATTGTGGAAATATTCGTGTAGTGCGTATCTCCAAAAGTAAATAAATAGTGATTTATATTAGTCATTCTTAAAGTTTTTCGATTATTGCATAAATAATAATATAAGATAGACTTTCCTTTTTTATGATATATAAAATAACACGCAGGTTTAAGCAAATATTGAAGATTTTTACGATGAAGTTCAAGAACAAGTTTTACCAGATGGTGCAAAAAGTCATATTTGAAAAAAAAATGGAGTTACGCACATGCGAATTACACTAACGATATGTTATCACCAATTTTATGAATAACAGTTGTTAGACACCTGTATCAACGAGTGTCATAGGAAAATCGTCAATTTCTTGGTCTATATTAAAATGTACGGGGAACAGATCAACAGAAAAGAATCAAGTTACATTTATGCGTCACCCTCACCAATTTCTTGTCGTACTCTAGTATTTCGTTCTCAGCAGTCTTCTCTGATATTAGTTGTTGATGCAGATAGTATATTATTCTTTATTTTGTTAATAAACTATGAAGAATTTCTGACGTTATTTCACGTCGATTCAATTTGCCAATGGGTAAATATAGATATGTGAAATGTATACCTCAACGTATGTTTACATACTATTTTTATATCGTCCCTATATTTCACCATCAAAGTCTCTTTTTCAAGACTAAAGTTCCCTTTAGTTGCGTTAAAAACGTACACTGTAATTATAAGAATCATTATTGTAAGCCTTTTGTACTTTAGACAGGAAAAAATCGGTATTATTTGTAATAGACTATACACCTTTAATATCGTCTTTGTGTCGTAACATGAGGGCTGATGTTATAGTTCTTACCGTTTTATTAAATTTTGTTATTCCTGCACAATGCCTGATTTCCAATTTGGATACAATTTCAAAAGAAAGTAATGCCAGTATACTTTTAAATTTTCTAAATCTTTATTCAACTATAATCATCTCAAGTCAATCAAACATAGATCATGATATTGTTTTTTCGAACAATCCAAAAAGAATAATTACTAACTTTACAAACAATGGTTTGTTACACAAAGATGAAGATATTATATTTGTTGAAAGAAATGTTGACGATTTTCAACGAACCTTAAATTTATTTAACAAATCGAATAGATGGCATAGCAAATCTAAATTTCTTGTTATTTTAGAAGAACAAAACAAAGATAATGATATAGTTACACTGTTTCAAAGTCTATGGCGTGTGAACATTTACAACGCTGTGGTAGATCTAGGATCTAATAGATTCTTTACCTGGTATCCGTATGCAAAAGAAAACAAATGTGGTACAAAGTTTAACATAAAAATAGTAGGAGAAGAAGACCCGTTTATTGAAAAGATTCCCAGAAACCTTCACAATTGTAACTTTAATATCATCTCGCCAATATCAGAGTTTAACCTTTACTTTGACGATAAGACCAAAAAGGGTTTCATTCCTTCGTACCTCAATACAGTGGGGCAAAAATTAGGTCTAAAAGTAAATTTTAAGTCTATAAACAATTATTTTAATCACCAGTCAAAATATGGAAACCACGAATTATTAATGTACGATTTGGAAACTTTTGACATAGAAGCAGCAATCTACGGGGCTTACTTTGATATACGTCTACCTGATTATCAATGTGAATACTCCATTATGATGTACCAAACATTCATGTACCTCATTTGTCCCCCTCGAAGGCCGATTATTCCCAATTTACTAGTCCTGTTCTCGCTAAAAATATACTTTCTTTACATTCTGTCTATTTTGGTAATTGCTGTTGTATGGAAACTATCCTGTAGACTACAATTCGGGGTAGCTATGATGGACACGTACCGCTTGTTTGTAGCATTGCAAACAAACGTGAAACAGATCGTAAATCCCAAAACAAGCTTATTTTTAATGTTGGTAATGTGGTATAGTATTCACATGAGTTTATTTTACCAAACTGAGTTAAGTAGCAAATTAACGTCTCCTACGTTAACTCCAAAAATTAAAAACATTGAAGACTTTTTACAATCTGATCTAAAATTTTACAGTAATCCTTCGATGAATGCAATGATGCTGCCGAGAGGTCTAGATACATATAACAGATTGATGAAAAAAACTGTAAATGCAGTCAATCTTCTGAAAGCTTTCAATTTATTTCTGGAAAAGCCAGACCATGCATATATTCTACTCAGTAATTTGCTCTATCAACTAAAAAATATTAATGATTTTGAAGTTATTTACGATGATCCAGTAAGTAGTCATTATGATCGGTATATCTATGTATGTTTAGTTTTTCCAGAGTCATATTACCTTTGTATCTATTCTCTTACGTGTCATCTCTGTTAAAGTTGCGACTATTATGACAAATTCGTTTTTATCCTGGGCTGCGTGTATTAGGTTACTTCCGTTATATACAATAGAATCTAATAGAAATATGCTTTATTGTTGTAAAATTTTATGGACAAAGCTTACAAAACATCAAAAAAATATATAAATAAAAGATAATAAAATATGCAATCCATTGCAAAATTTTACTAAATTGCAAATTGTATAATAAAACCTTACGAACTAATAAGTTTAAGTTGCTGCATGTGATACCCAAATATATTTATAAAAATACTTTAGTTGCTTGTACCCAACCGTACTGTAATTTCTAAATTATTCGTTAAGAAACTCTTCCACTGAATAATATGCTCTTTCAGATCCGAATATAATATTGTTATATTTTTATAGTTCCAATTTATTGTCTTTATTCTAATTTATTAAAACTCACGATAATTTATTATAAATTTATTAAATAACTGTACAACTATTTATTACGTTCGTACATTTAAATATGCGAGCCCCGACTTTATCTTCTTACTACCTGCTCAATAAAATTCATGGTATTTATATATAAAATTCCGTTATCTCGAAAAGTCTGGGGATGCACCGATGACGTTACATCCATTAGGTGACTTATCCAGCAGGTCTCGAAAAGTCAATCGCATTCTGGTAAATTCAGAGAGTCGTCGCCGACGGCATTCTTAGTAACTGAACTGGTTATCCGACCCTTTTGTAGAATTCGGTAGTATCTGACCTAGAACATTCGTGAATAAGTAAATATATTTACAGTTTTTATACGTCATAATATTTAAAATTGTAACAATATAGATTTCTTTACTAACTCAAGGGACGGTATCGGTAAATACACATTAAAGGTTGAATTTCTGGTGGACTAGTCATGATTAGGTCTTGCTGTAAAAACATGTAGGAGTTTACGAATTAACTTTGAAATGTTAAGGCAAATATCGAGCACAAATTTAATAATCAAATCTTGCCCAAAGATTTTCGCTATCTACAGCATCATCAGAGGCATATCTTCAAATTTGGGCTATCCAGCAAGCGTAGAATGTAATAAACATAAGATTGGACATAAATTGTACATAACACTATATTAACACAAGGATAAACAGTTTAAAATTATTAAAAATTATTCTAACGCTCTACATTCTTGTCGGCAACCGGAGGGTGGCAACCAGAGAGAGAGAGAGAGAGAGAGAGAAAAGTTCATTTATTCGAGCATTCAACCTCATATCAATTGTTTACGAATTAAGCAAACAATTTCTAGAATATAGAAAGAGAGAAGAGTTAATTTTAAAGTAGCTTCTGCAACGTGTTATTCTATCGAGGCCAAAAAGATACCGTATTGCTCTTTTTTGTTAATTAAAAATAACATCAGATTGGGCATTTGTACTAGAATCCCAAAAAAGGCCATATCGAAGAAGACACTTGAACAAAGGAAAATATGTTATTTGGGAAGATGCTAGATTGATTTCCTTCGAAACGGATCTAATTGCATAGCAGGCTGGGGCTAGTTTCTGACTTAACAAATCGATATAAAGGAACCATTTAAGATTGCTGTCTATAAAAATACCAAGAAATTTTACAGAATCAATGATACTGATCTGGCTGTTATTAAGAACCAAGAGTTGAAGAGCTCCTTTATAGAATAATGCTACTGTGTTATCCACGTTAAAAGAGAGTAAATTAGAGTCTGACCAGGAAAGATAGGAAAAAGAAGAAAAACTTAACCTTGTGGTACTCCACATACAATGCTTTTGTGACAATGCTGAGTCAGTATCATTTGCTCTAACTAGTTGTTTCCTATTCCTCAAGTAAGATTGGAACCAATTCAAAGAAATACCTCGAATTCCGTAGAAATTTAGTTTTTTATCAAAATGTCGTAATTTACACAATTAAAAGCTTTGGTATAGTCACAAAAACACTGGCAGTGTAAACAATATTGTTGAGTGCTTGATGGACCTCATGTAGTATAGAAAACATGGCATCACTTATACATTTATTAGATAAAAAGCCGAACTGACTTTGTGATAAAATGTTGCTTTCAACGAGAAAGGACATAAGTCAGGCTTTTATAAGTTTCTCAATAATTTTGGATAGTTTTGGATAAGCCGGTCATAAGGTATTAGGTCTATAGTAGCAGACATTTGATTTTTCACCACCCGTATGAAGGGGAATAATAATGGCTGTCTTAAGGAACTCCGAAATTATACCTTTTTTAAAGGAATCATTATTTGGTGGGACCAGGACTTCCAACACAATTTTTGGGAGATTTTAAAAAATTTTTATGGTTAGTACATCAGCACTACAGGAAGATTTGCTTTTGATACTACTGATTGTTTGGATCAGTTCGGATTTGTTAACTGGTCTTATAAAGGATGAATTTGAGACCATTTTTGAATTGAAAAGATAGGAAATAGGATCCTGTTGTGGCACAATAGTTAATGTTATATGTTTACTTATATTAATAAAGTATTTATTTAAATTTTCAGCGTTTTCGAGAGAAAATGTTTGAGCTGTGTTTGTTTTATTTCAAAGATCGTTTGTTATGGACAAGTTTCACTTGAAACATTTTTAGAGCTATCCAGAGATTTTGATAGTATATTTTTTTAGCTGTTTTGATAAATTTTAGATAGGTTCCTTTGTAGTTGGAGATATATATTTAGTGACAAAGAGGTTGGTAGTAAATTTCTTGATGTAGAGTAGTGAACGCATATTCTTGCTTGATATGCGGATACCTTTAATAGTCCAGGGCTTAAGATGTTTTGACTTAATTGTAATAGAAGGAAATGCCTTATTACAAATACAGACAAGCCTTTCTAAAAAATCACTGAAATTATAGTCCACGTTCACAAACGGAAAGTGTCACCCAGAAGTTAAGCACAAATTTTGTTATTTACGAAAGTTCTGAGCGGAAAAAATCCAACCTTCGCGTTGGGTTTTCAAGGATGGTTTGTAAAGAGTGTTAAACTTAGTATATACTGCCTTATGATCCGATAATCCTTCATTATTAATTGTAGAGCGTACATTAAGGTTAACCTTTAGAATTGTAAACCATACGATTCGAATATATTGACCAAGGATAATTGGGTAGCACAAGCAACAGCGTATTTAATATTAATGTTATATTTAAATCTTTGATCATTTTTTTCTTGCGGATTACAAAAAATTAAATAAGGGCTTAAAGAGTCTTGCTTACTCTTTTCTAACCTACACTCAAGTGTTTTTAAGTAGTTTTTAAATAATATTTACGTTTTATTTTCAGTTAATATCAGTGAACGTTAACTTAGTACTAAAAAGAAATCACCCTCTTATATACAGATTTAATTATTGGATCCAAGCAGTTCAAGAAGCAGGTTTGCCTTCAAAATGGTTATACAGTAACTCCGTGAATCTGAAAAAATTGGAAGCTCATTATGAGCTAAAGCCAAGTACGGAATTTAAAAAACTAACCATGAAAAACTTACAAAGTTGTTTTTTGTTTCTAGTAGCTGGAAATATTCTTTCAATTATTACATTTTTGATAGAATTAGTGAAGAAAAGGGAGATTGTCCAATACTAATGTAGATTTAAATCGTAATTCTCTTTAATCATAAATTAACTATATAGGTTATTATTTTCTTTTTCTTTGTAAGAGTGAAGAGTTTTAAATTAAAAGTACCTACGATGAAAGTATTGCACTGCTTCAAATTTAATAAAATTATCATTCGTTTTGCTCAAAATAGTTTTTATTCAAAGCAGATCCATATCTACTTTGTTATATAGATGAAAGATGGAAACCCAGATTTATATAGAAAAAGCTGTTCTTTATCGACTGATGTAACAGGGTCATATTTTAACAGTCAATTCTTCTTCTTCGTCATGTTTGTTATGAAGAATATCCCGGATAATTTGTAAAATGGTGGATGACAGAAGAAATACTGTCACTTATGGATCAAAGAAAAGAAGTCAGAAATAAAGATAAAACGAATACAAAAGGATCCACCCAATAATAAGGCAGAACATAAAACACGCGAAAACACAATTTCATAGTAAAGAATGTAATGAAATTGAACGATATGAAAAGAAACACGATACATTTCATCTGCACAAGAAATTCGCTGGAAACAAACGCAATTAAGTATCCCAAAGTTTAGAAGACAGAAACGGACACAGAATATTAGACATCAATGAACAGGTAAACGAATGGGAAAACTAGATTTCTGAATTATTTAAAGATGAGAGAGTATACACCGATTGCTATATCAGGCCCATCTATAACAGAAAGTGAGGTTACACGTTCAGTTCAAACGGCAAAAAATGGAAAAGCACTTGGCCTCGATGAACTAAGTGCTGAAATACTAAAGTTTTTGGGAGAAAATGGAATTAAAGCTCTGTGTAATCTCTTTAACAGAATTTGTGACACTGGGATATTACCAACTGATTGGTTAAAGTCGACATTTGTCACCATACCTAAGAAATACTGTCCAAAGACATGCAGTGATTATCGGATAATAAGTCTGATGAGTCACGTTTTGAAGATCTTCCTGCGAGTAATACATAGCAGAATTTACACGCTGTTAGAGGACAGAATTCTTCTTCTTCTTTGGGTGCCGTGTCCGTATTCAGACGTTGGCCGTCATCATGCGTACAATTTCCTGAAACCTTTCTCTGTCGGCTGCTGCGCGAAATAATTCTTCTACTGTGAAACCACACCATTGTCTAATATTACGCAGCCATGAAAGTTTCTTTCGACCAATCCATCTCTTTCCTTCCACTTTTCCTTGTATTATAAGGCGAAGTAAATGGTATTTGGGTCCTCTAATTATATGGCCGAAGTATTCTGTTTTTCTCCTCTTTATGATGTTTATGAGCAGACGTTCTGAGTTCATCATTTGAAGAACATCTTCATTGGAAGTGTGCGAGACCCACGATATCTTTAGGATTCGTCTATAGCACCACATTTCGAATGCTTCTAACTTGTTTAGCATTGTGGTTTTTAACGTCCATGTCTCACAACCATATAATAGGATCGACCACACATAACATTTCAGGACCTTCTTACGAATGTTCATTGACAGGTTTCTGTTGCATAAAACTGGTTTCCAGGTCATAAAAGCCTTACGTGATATTTCGATCCTGGATATTATCTCTTCATCAGAGTCACAATTTACATTTAACCAGCTGCCAAGGTATTTGAAATGATTTACCCTTTCTATCTCTTCTCCATTAAGAGAAAGCAGACCTTGATCTATATGGATCTTTCCAACTGCCATCCACTTTGTGTTTGAAATGTTGATTTTGGGCAGAGACAGAATTAGGACAGAAAAGGACAGAATTAGCAATACTCAATTTGGGTTTAGGAGTGCCTTAGGTACAAGAGAAGCCTTGTTTAGTATACAGGTGCTAGTACAAAGATGCAGAGATATAAATCAAAAAGTGTACATTTGTGCAACCGATTTTGCAAAGGCTTTTGACAAAGTCCGACATAACAAAATGCTAGAAATATTGGAAACAGCTGGATTGGACGATAAAGATCTACGAATAATTACAAATCTGTACTGGCATCAAGTGGCAAGAATAAACGTTGAACAAAAACTGTCGGATGAAATAAATATAAAAAGAGGAGTGAGACAAGGCTGTATATTGTGGCCTTTACTTTTTAACTTATATTCTGAGGAAATATTTAAGGAAGCCTTAAGGAAGACAACCGAATGTATTATTGTGAATGGAGTATCCGTCAATAATATTAGATATGCCGACGATACCTTTTGTGCTTGCTAATTGCGGAGAAATCATTTAAAATCTAATGAACAGAATAAAACAGTCTTGTGATCAGTATGGATTTAAATTCAACGTTTAGAACACCAAATATACGATAGTTAGCAAATAAAATTATATACAGGATAACGGTATAAAAGTCAGAGATGCCACACTGGACAGAGTAGAGAAACTCGTGTATTTCGGCAGTAATATCAATGAGAGCTGGGATTCAACCGCAGAAATTAAAAGCCGAATAGAATAAGCCCGAGCTGCCTTTGTAAAAATAAGAAACGTAATTTCCAGTCACGATCTTAGCATTGACCTTAGAGTTCGAATGACATCTTGCTACATCTTTCCTGTCCTGCTGTATGGAGTGAAAGCGTGGACTCTAACTGAGGCTATCCTTAAACGCTCGACAGCCTTTGAGATGTGGGTATACAAACGACTACTGAAAATAAGCTGAGTCGACAGAGTTAAAAATGAGGAGGTCTTTAGACGGCTGAACCAAACAACACAACTGTTGTTATATAATATAATAAAGATAATAAAGAAACGCAAGCTGGAATACTTCGGTCATATTATGAGACACTCTGAAAAATATGATCTTTCACATCTGATCATTCAGGCAAAGATCCAAGGGAATCGTGGTCCTGGTAGAAGACGAACATCATGGCTGAAAAGTCAAAGGCAATGGTATGGAAAATCAACTACATCGTTATTTAGAGCTGCTGTCAATAAAGTCACGATAGCGACTATGGTAGCCAACATGATATCCAACGATCGATAACGGTCGTAGAACTAGGAGAAGAAGAAGAACTTGTAAAATCATTTTGTTATCGCATTTCCAGTTTCTATTTTGGTTATTGTATTCTTATATGTATATACTTATCGTAATCGAGGACGCCATCCAAAAATGTAGCTAGACGACATCCAGCGCGTCCAGCACAACTGAATTCAGTTTGCTCAGGATCTGATGCAATGGAAATATTTCGAGGAAATCTATATTCAGTAGTGGACTCAAATCGGGTAATAATGGTAATGATTCTTATATATCTACTTAATAGCTCTAGTTAATTGATTGCTTATATGTGTCTTCTCTCTTGCGACCCATCGTTTAGTTATCGGTACATTATTATCTTATAATCTACTAAATTTAAAAAAACAAAAAAAATTGCTAGAAAAAACATGCCACAAAATTCGACAGACAACGACACTGAACGGTATAAACAAACAACAACAGAGACAAGAAAACTAATAAACAGGAAAAAGAAGGAGAACTAGAGACAAATATTTACAGATGTAGCACAATATCGGGAGAATAACTATAAGACAATTTGTTTAGTGATTAAACTTGAGAAGTCGCTGGTTTAAATTACTAAACATTTGGTCCAGAGTTTTCGGAATCAAGACTGGATATCAAGCAAGAACAGAAAACTTTCGTCATAGAGAACTCGGAGAATTTCTTAGTAATGACTAAGAAATCCTAAAAACCTGGTAAAAATACTTGTGTCAATTGTTAAATGACAAATCTAGCGGAAATACATCAAACATGTACAGCCGAAATAGAAAACTATACCCAACATATAAAGAAGTAACAATTTAAAAATAATAAGGCACAAGGCATCGATTGTATACTTGCAGAGTATCTAAAACACGGAGGAGGAGCGTTTTATAGATTCACGCATAAGCTAATTCAAGTTATTTGGTGAGAAGAAACGAAATAAGGTAAGATGAATGTAAAGAGGTGTTATTGTACCAATCCATAAATACCGGGGAATACCGCTCCTAAATATTGCCTACAAAGTCCTTGCAGACATTCTGCTAGAAAGACCCAAAACTACTGAAGTATTGCTCAGATCTTACTATAAAACAGAGATAAATGGTGTAAGTTTGATCGAGAGTTTTATCACATGTTTATGAGTTTTAAAGAGGTATTTGATAGATTATGGAGGGTGAAACTGTGGAAGAACTTGGCTTTCTAAAAAAACTGATCAATTTGATACTAATATGTATGGAAGGTCTACGATGTAAGTTGAGAGCTAGACAACAATACTTGAAGATATTTAAAATAAATAATGGAGTAAAACAATGAGATGCACTCTCTCGACAACTCTTTAACATAGCCGTAAAATATCAGAAGTGTAGGAATTGAAAAACTGACTTCAGTATTTTATCGAGAAGGACCAAACTTACTGTCGGAAGACGATATTGCTCTAATATAAAGCACCAGATTAAGGATGAAGAAAACTTTTATCAGATTTAAGAAGGAAGTAGAGAAGATGGAGTTCCTGATCAATAACACTAATACTAAAGTTATGTATATGAGCTGCAATAACCGAAACAGATAGAATAGGACAGATAGAATAGAATTTAGGTATCTTGGAATAACAATAACTGAAGAAGGAACGGATCATAAGAAATAAACAATAGGATACATGCTAGGAACAGGTGTCTTTACGTACCTTAAAACCTTATAAAATCGAAACAACTAACAAGTGGCACAAGATAAATTTATATTGTAACGAAGAAGTTGACAAAACTAGATAATAAAAAGTTTTCGTCCACAATATTCATCGAAGACCACGTTGCTCACAACAAATGCAAATGAAGAATGACTACGTCTTTAGGAGAGAAAAATCCTAACAAAGATATTTAGGCAAGCACTTGATGCGACAGCAGGACAATAAAGGATAAGAACTAACGTAGAACTACCAAAGAGGTGGAATAACTATGTGCAGATGAAAACAATAAAAGAAATAAAGTCCAGAAGACTCAAGTGGGTAGACACCTCAGAAGACACTCTGACTGAAGAATAGTAAA